GTTTAAAATCTTAAACCTGCTCACAGACAATTATGGTGTCCAGTGAGACTGGGACTGTTGGCAATGGCTTTTGAAGGGTCTGAGGAAGAAGCACAGGCAGAAGAGTTGAGAACTCAGCCTTTAGCTAGTGTTTGGCCACTCCTGCTGCTGCTTGTGGGCAGAACATCTTTTCTAATTTTCCTGCTGTTCTACAGAAGTCAGGGGTTGGATCAGTCTGAGCATTCATCAGAGAGCACAATATGGCTTAGCTATTTGGCTCGCCTATATCATATTTGACAGTGGAAAACAATGTTAATTAATATTAGGAGTGCTTCTTAATCAATGAAGGAAGTGCCTGTTTTGTTTCTGAGCACTTTGTTTCCTGAACAAATAAGCCACTGCAACATACACCCCATCACAGCACCCCTCCAAACAAAACCAGAAACACTCTGTGTTCGTCCTTTCTTGGGGAAACACATGGTCAGCTTCTGCCATTGAGGAGAGTAGGTGGTAGGGGTATGGCTTAGATGTTGGATGACAGGGATGGCTCTGTTGAAGGCAGGATTTCATAACTAACAATAATTTTCTTTGTAATTAAGGACCTGACTCATATACTGAAACAGTAAAGGTACCCTTTGAAATAATGTTTATTAGTCATCTGATAAGGTTTTATTAAAAATTTGGATGATTTTTCCTAAATGTCCAGTTATTTAGAAACTTGAAAGTTTTTAGGGTAGGGAAAGTGGTCACAGAAATATGAATAGCTTTAGGGTTTGGCAAGTATGAAGTGTTACAAGCCCCAACTTTTAGTATATTTTATGTTTTTGCATGTGGCAGTTTTATTTATGCCAGTCATTGACCCTGGCTTTTTAGGGGGAAGGATTTTAATTACTTTTCTTACTGTAATTATTGTAGTGCTTTATGCTTACAAAAGGCATAATATGGGTCTAAGGTATTTCTATACAGGCAGCATTATGAATTAGACCTAATAACCTAATTCAGTAGAGCGTTTATCTTTAGGCATTATTTCCAGGTCCTTTCCTTACCAGTTAGAGGTGCACTTTTGAGTTTTGTAATATGGTCTATTTTGAACAGTTTTGAAAAGAGGTGGCTTTAGTATCATTTATAGCACTTAAGCTTGCTACTGATACTTAAAGGAAAATGCCGAGATTCATCAGAAAGCATCTGTTCTGTCAAGCATAGAAAAACATTTCACTCTGAGGTTGCCTTTATCACAAAAAGAGAAATCACTTTAGAAATTAATGTGTGGAAGGCATTAGGCTGAATAACAATGTTTTTCACATTGATCTTTCAGCTACAATTACAATTGACTTCAAAGACTGAGAATTTGTCTCTTCCAGGAGAAAAACCATAAAATTCATAAATTCGATTTTAGTAAAATTTAAGTGTCTGTTGTTCAGTGATTTTCTTAATTCAGGACTGAAAAATATCTCATTGACTTATTGAAGATAATTTATTTAATGATTGACAAATGACTGTTTTGATGAGGCTTAGAAGATAACAATAATAAATTATTTTCAGTCTTCCAGAAAATTTTTCTCTTCCTCTCCTTGATTTCTATAACCTCAACAAGAAAGCATTAGGAAAAAAATATTCAACAAAATCAAACCTGAGTCAGTGCCTTTATTCTCTCAGAAATACTGCCTGATGAAAAGGAAGAGAAGGAAATTACCTTTTTGAATCTTAAAAAAAAAATCTTACAATGTCTGTCTTCTAGCTAACATAAAGAATAAAATTACAGGGTTGTTTTATAAGTTGTGTGTTCCAAATATATTTTTGTGTGGACTCTTGTTTCCCTTTAGGGCGGGAGTCTTCTCAAAATTTTTGTGTCGCTGTATAATTCCCACAGATGGACATTTCTAGTAGAAATTTAGGAAAATTTTATAATGATAGATTTGCACAGTCTAAGGGATACATGGTTTTTGTTTGGGGGTAGATGATAATACCTAGTAAATACCACCTGCTTCTTCCATCCAGGACCCAGATTGGCTATGAAGTGTGTTATTTTTAGGATTCATAGTATTTGAAGATTGATTTTTGGTGCACTTATTATGAATAATTAGTATTTTTTTCCCTCTCTTTTAAGGTGCTTTAGGATTTGGTGCCTGTTCCAATCTGAGACTACCACAATAAGACAAGGAAGGGCAATGTCATGGTAGGCCGTTCTTAGTTGCTAGAGAAGTTAGGCCACTTAGTTATGAGGTTGATGAATTTTTGTTCTTAGGTCAAAACCATAAATACTCTCACTGACTTAAAGTATCAGCTGTGCTAGTATAGATTGCTCTTTCCTGTGGAACTGACGTATATTTTAAAAGATTTTTTTCTTTTTATAAAGAATGTCTTGTTGCGTCGTTTTGCTAGACTGAAAGTTTCCTCATCGCTTGGTGAGACCCTCCTCTAATTCAATCTTTGTCTTTTGTCTTTGCTGCCTTGCAGGGTTGGTACAGTAGGCTTCACTAGACTTAGCTGCAACTCAGAATTTCTCCTCCAGCACCTGAGTAAATGCTGATGGTCTTGTGGAGAGTGGATTAAGAGTACGAGCTAAGTTCTCAATCCCAATTAAGAAGCGGAGGAAAATTTAAACTGTCTCCTTCAAAGTTTATCACAACCACCACCATCAAGACAGCAAACCAAAGGACAAAGACTTTGACCTGCTGTATTGCTCTGTGTAGTCCAGTTCACGTATGGTTTACAGACTTGACTGGGGTTACTAATGAGTAAATAAAAAGTCGGACACTTCTGTCATTGGACACTTTTATTCACAAAGTTACCAAAATGAGGGCTGTACTGGAGACAGCAGACATTGCCATAGTGGCCCTGTATTTTATCCTGGTCATGTGCATTGGTTTTTTTGCCATGTGGAAATCTAATAGAAGCACCGTGAGTGGATACTTCCTGGCGGGGCGCTCTATGACCTGGGTAGCAATTGGTGCCTCTCTGTTTGTGAGCAATATTGGGAGTGAGCACTTCATTGGGCTGGCAGGATCTGGAGCTGCAAGTGGATTTGCAGTGGGCGCATGGGAATTCAATGCCTTACTGCTTTTGCAACTTTTGGGATGGGTTTTCATCCCAATTTACATCCGGTCAGGGGTATATACCATGCCTGAATACTTGTCCAAGCGATTTGGTGGCCATAGGATTCAGGTCTATTTTGCAGCCCTGTCTCTGATTCTCTATATCTTCACCAAGCTCTCAGTGGATCTGTATTCGGGTGCCCTCTTTATCCAGGAGTCTTTGGGTTGGAACCTTTATGTGTCTGTCATCCTGCTCATTGGCATGACTGCTTTGCTGACTGTCACCGGAGGCCTTGTTGCAGTGATCTACACAGACACTCTACAGGCTCTGCTCATGATCGTTGGGGCACTCACACTTATGATTATTAGCATGATGGAGATTGGCGGGTTTGAGGAAGTTAAGAAAAGGTACATGTTGGCCTCACCCAATGTCACTTCCATCTTGTTGACATACAACCTTTCCAACACAAATTCTTGTAATGTCCACCCAAAGAAAGATGCACTGAAAATGTTGCGGAATCCAACAGATGAAGATGTTCCTTGGCCTGGATTCATTCTTGGGCAGACCCCAGCTTCAGTATGGTACTGGTGTGCTGACCAAGTCATCGTGCAGAGGGTCCTAGCAGCTAAAAACATTGCTCATGCCAAAGGCTCTACTCTTATGGCTGGCTTCTTGAAGCTTCTGCCAATGTTTATCATAGTTGTCCCAGGAATGATTTCCAGGATACTGTTTGCTGATGATATAGCTTGCATCAACCCAGAGCACTGCATGCAAGTATGTGGAAGCAGAGCTGGGTGCTCTAATATTGCTTACCCACGTCTGGTGATGAAGCTGGTTCCTGTGGGCCTCCGGGGATTAATGATGGCGGTGATGATTGCAGCTCTGATGAGTGACTTGGACTCTATCTTTAACAGCGCCAGTACCATATTCACCCTCGATGTGTACAAACTCATCCGTAAGAGTGCAAGCTCCCGGGAACTAATGATTGTGGGGAGGATATTTGTGGCTTTTATGGTGGTGATCAGCATTGCATGGGTGCCAATCATCGTGGAGATGCAAGGAGGCCAGATGTACCTTTACATTCAGGAGGTAGCAGATTACCTGACTCCCCCAGTTGCTGCCCTGTTCCTTCTGGCAATTTTCTGGAAGCGCTGCAATGAACAAGGGGCTTTCTATGGTGGAATGGCTGGCTTTGTTCTTGGAGCAGTCCGTTTGACACTGGCCTTTGCCTACCGTGCCCCAGAATGTGACCAACCTGATAACAGGCCAGGCTTCATCAAAGACATCCATTACATGTATGTGGCCACAGCATTGTTTTGGGTCACAGGACTCATTACTGTAATTGTTAGCCTTCTCACTCCACCTCCCACAAAGGAGCAGATTCGTACCACTACCTTTTGGTCTAAGAAGAGCCTGGTGGTGAAGGAGAGCTGCTCCCCGAAAGATGAACCATACAAAATGCAAGAGAAGAGCATTCTGAGATGCAATGAGAATAGTGAGGCCATCAACCACATCATTCCCAATGGGAAATCTGAAGATAGCATCAAGGGCCTTCAGCCTGAAGATGTTAATCTGTTGGTGACCTGCAGAGAGGAGGGTAACCCAGTGGCTTCTTTAGGTCATTCAGAGGCAGAAACACCAGTAGATGCTTATTCCAATGGGCAAGCGGCTCTCATGGGTGAGAAAGAGAGAAAGAAAGAAACAGAGGATGGAGGCCGGTACTGGAAGTTCATAGATTGGTTCTGTGGCTTTAAAAGTAAGAGCCTCAGCAAGAGAAGTCTCAGAGACCTGATGGAGGAGGAGGCTGTTTGTTTACAAATGTTGGAAGAGCCTCCAAAAGTTAAACTAATACTAAATATTGGACTTTTTGCTGTGTGTTCACTTGGAATTTTCATGTTTGTTTATTTCTCCTTATGAACTTTTAAGGATATGATGAGACACTAACTTAAAAAAATACTGGTCTTTGAAAAAAAACTTAATGTAACTGTCGCATCTCTCAGGCATTGTTTACGCTGTAGGTTTTAGCTGAATTTTACTTAGCAGAAAATCATCTATTTGCAAGACTTTATTTTCCCAGAGATGGATGAAAGTAAAATTTTCAACCTAAATGAAGTAAAACTTGTTTGTCAGACTGAATTGTGCAAATGTGGTGTAAAAATTTCCATACCAAAGTAAGGAGAGACCAATTATTCTCATAGAATACCCAGAGCAGAATATATGCTGATATCATAAATAGGGTATACTGTCTGCACTGCCAAATCTTGGTAAACCTTCTTATTCTGAAGTAGAAGACTTGCTCATGTCAAAGTTTTTTCTCTGTCTCTGAAATCCCTCCAACTATTTTAAAAAACTGAATTTGTAGACATTGTGTAATCAGTTATGTACTGAAAATCTAATGTGCTTGTGGGGTGCTTGCTTCAGGGCAAGTTAGTTTGCCAAGTTTGTTATGTTAGCATGAGCCTATGGATTCTGATTGTCAAAGAAAGGAAGAATGTTTATCTGTAGCTATTCTTGTACCACCAATATATGCAATGTTGGGAAAAAATTTCGGTTCCTTTTTTTTTCCTCTTTTGACTGAAGTTTAGGTGAACCATACTCAAATGACCACCAAGTCTGTCTTTTTAAAGTTATGTCATGATTGTATTGTTAAGTGATTATGGGGGAGAAAATGAAGTAAACATTGTTGATGATCCCCAAATGCATTGACCAAATTAAAGTTTCATATAATTTGGGAATTAGCAGTCCTGAAACTGTTTGATTGACTTATGCCAAACAGGTGATTACTCATACTCCTCTAATTATCTAGCTTTGTTCTTGTCATTTGATAGCATTATTATCCAGATGCCTTCCCAAGTGGATCCAGTTGGATGATAGGTCTAGAAATTTGAAGAAAAATTGACACTGCTTTTGTGCTGGGTTGCCCTACTTCATTTGGTCATATATTGAGGTTGACTTTTTAGAGGGAAATTTTAATTCTGAGATCATGTAGTATCCTTGATAAGTTCTTTTTCTGATTTACTATTTCAAAAAATTTGCCATCTGTACACAGCCTCTACATTTTTTGTTTAAAAAGTACAATAACTTAGAGCATGCGGATGTTTCAGTGCACACTGGCCATCAGTAACAGAAGATTTGGTGTATGCTTTGCCATTGGTGAAATAATCTTGCTGAGAATGAATAGCATGTTCAGGAGGTGCTATGAACAAGAACTTTCAGGTTTAGTAGTGTGTCTTGTGGAGGATATTACATGATTTGTGTAATTATAGGACCCTTTATCTTGACAGGGCTTGGCACCCAGTTGCAGCCTTAATAGATGGGAATCTATTTTTCACAGTCTGATCACCCTTCATGAGGACAGGGTACAAAAGATGTTAGAGAAAACGTCTACAAATTATGTAGTTCTGTGTCTGTACACTCAACACTGTCCTTTATCCTCCATGATAGATGAAGGAGACTAGTTGTGTATCTACTTTCTTTGATTTTTCTGTAGTATCTGATACTTTTTAAATTGCATGATTTTATTAAGCTTGTATTCATTAGGGAAAAGTATTACTTTTTTAGATACTTTCGTAGATTTTGAATCAAAACTCAGTCCTAATGACTAAATTTTTTTGTAGTCTGTAAACTAGTTTCATTGTGATGGACTTGATTAGTTCAAAGTTGATTTTTAGAAATTATTGTGTAGTATAATGTCTTCCCATCTCCAGACTGCTTTCTGATGGACTGGGTCTGTAGATGAAAAAATAATTCATGTATGAATAGCATTTCTGAAAGTTAAGAGTGCCTTGTAGAGTTTTTGTTTCTCAATTTCATTCTTAAGATTTATAAGCTAGGGGCCAAATAAATTGGGACCATCCTCTTCTTGTATGGAGGTTGAGGCTGTATCATGTCCAAGGTTAGAAAATCACTTGGAAGAATAGAAACCAAGTGTCCAAATCTGGACTCATGGTTTCTCCTTTTCTCAAAGGAACTGTTCTTCCTTTGAGACAACTTTTTGGCATTTAGGGAAATAATAGGATCTTAGATCTTTCAAATTGGCATTAAATTGTAGAAATTAAGATTTTTTTTTACTCTGAACACATTGCTGTGTAACTCAGCAGTGAGGATTGACGTACTGGTTGGGCAGCCTTCCTACCCTTTCCATTTACAGCACAAATGACTAGGTGGTGTTTATGTGGATTTCTCCTCCCTTTATTTAATGTTGAGTCCTAATAGTTTAGAGTATTAGGGTCTCTCTACCCTCTCTCTTAGTTTAGAGTACAAATGTATGTAAATAAGGAATGACTATTAGCATATCCATTAGGACTGTTTATTCTTGCCCGTATAAATATCACTTTATTTAGACTGAAGTCTCTGAAGCTTGCCCTTTTTATTGCTTCCCAGTAATAGGTAATGTGCTTGAATAAGTATGTAAAATGCTGATTGCAACTTCATTTCAAGGACTATTCTTCAGTCTGTATTTCATTAGAATGATTGTTCATGGAATGATACTTGGTTGTCTTAAGCTAGCAAAATGTTTGTACTTTACACTAAATGGGTCCTAAATGATACTGATCTCTGTTATTCACATGTATATATTTTTATATTGGCTCAAGCCAAGGTTCAGAATTGACCAAGAGTGATACTGACTAAAACAGTTAGCTAAGAGTCAAAATAAAGTGAGGACACTGTCCTTTCAAAGGTGGGGAAAAATACTGTCTTACCTCCTGTTAATTGTATCCCCAATTCTTAGAGTTTTGTCCTTTCAAGTATTCTTAGTCTCAAGATCTGATGAGAAGAGCTTATTCCTCTGGTATGTGGAATGACTTGGCTCCTTTGTAGGACCTGTAATTTCCCAAGAATATTTTGTCCTGCCACCCCAAGATAGTAGAAATGGCTTTTGAAACAGCTGAGCCAGTCTTTTCCCCAGCCATTCTTTCCTGGTGAGGTTATCACATTTATCTTTAGTAAGAAGATCAAGCAATGGCATAGGTACTGTGTCCTTTGGCCTAAATTCAGCAGATCTGGTCTACCAAGGCTTCTTTTCACTTGGCTCAAAGGATCCACGGTCTCATTTTCATGAAGAGACTGGCCAGGGTCACATAGCTTAGTATTAAGGGATGATATCTCAGGTTATTAGCAGGGCCCCATCTGTCTGTGAAACTTCATGTTTAAAGAACTGAGTTAGGAAGGTTGTTTACTCAGTTACCTAACCTGAGGCTAAGGGTAGGGCAGGAGGGCTGAAAAGTTTTGTCCAAGGTGATTGGTCTTTAAGTCTTCATATTTCTCAGTCCCTTTCTTCCCATATACTGGGTTCTGGTTCTTCCCTCTTCTCTTTGACTATCATTTAATATATAGCCTATGGCTTTGTCTTATTCTTTATCACCCTAGCTGGCTATATCTTATTAGCTATTTAAATGTTAGACCTGTCAGTGTTCCCACTTGTCAGTATTCAGCTTACTTGCTTTCCCTTATACTTTACTTCCTTGTATCATTTTCATCTGTGATATGATGGCTGGAAGGACCACATGGGTATCTAGTAGTGATATCTCACCATTCCCCAGGTTTCAGTTGAGAGACATATAAAGACTATTCCTGTTGAATTACATGATTACAGAGACTTGCCAGGACAAAATTTTCCTAAGAGGTCAGAAAAACTATTAAGTGAGATGCTGAGAAGTACCTGGATGATAGAGACTTGACAAGTTGGTAAAGAACAAACATTAGCTTAAAGGACGTGGACTTACTCATTGAATGCTAGAACTTGAAGCACCTTGGCTACCAGTTTAAACCTCTCCCCATATAGAATAGGTACCAGTGAATAAGATTCAGCCTGTGAAACCTGGTCTGGTGTTAAATATTATAAAGTATGATTTATTAACATATTTGAGGTTAAAATGATGTTTGATAGTGGTACTTTGGTAGAAAAAAAAATGCTTTTAGGCTTCAGTATTCATAAGGTTTCTTATTAGCCAGGTGTTAAATTACTTAAGTCATTTCAATTTTGACATTAGCCTGAGCAGGCTTTACAAATAGGGTATGTTCCTATTTGTATGTGTACATACCCGCCATTCAGAGAGACTGGTCTTTCTCTTCTACCTCCCTCACATTTCTTTAATTTTTTACCTATTCTTTCTTTCAACACTTAACAAATTATTATTTTGATCTTTTGTCAGCTTAATTCACTTTCAGGCTTACTGCCATCGTGTGCAAGAGTGCAACTCTGCCCTGGTTTTGAAGACTTGGATCCAAATAATGATTCATTAAATATAGTTGTGTTCAAATATACTAAATTTCTGTTAGCTTAAACTGTACTCAAGAATGGTTTTCTCAGACTTTGTGATCACTAATAATAAAAGTTCTAATAATTCATCAGTATTTTATTCTCAAAACATTTTTCAAGAATTAAGCAGCAGTAGTTAAAATTCATCCCAATCCCTTTGAAATGATGGCATGACAGTGCAGAGAGGAATGGCGTTTGTTTTGATACCAAAAACCCTTGTTTTTGCAGTAATTTAGGGTAAAAAGCTGGAACTAGTCAGGTGGCATATAGAGAAACCCCTTTTGTACTAGACAGGTGTGAAGCTGGATTATATAAAAAGTAATGTTTTGATTATCAGACTTGGTTAGACTCAGTTGACTTAACTGAGGGCTGCACATCCCTTTTCCTCCACTAAGGACACTTTTCTTAATTTGGTATGCTTTTCGTCAGTTCTCCGCTCTTTTGGAAGATTAGGTATTCATCTGACTCCTGGAACAGAATTCAGCTAAGGTTCAAAATAATTAATAGGCTTTGCCAGCACTGAGTCCCATACCATTATTCACATAGTCATATAAATGTTTTTATTTATAAAGAAAAACTTCTTTCTCCAGTGCTGGGAATAAGGCTTTAACCTACTGATTTGCCTTTAAAGGAATGTTGTGAGAATTGATAAAATGTATGTTTCTGTTTCCATCTCAAGTCCTTTATAAAAGATAGGAGTTTTTTTGTTTTGAGTTAAACACCCCATTTATCTGGTAACTAACAGCTTTAGCTGTTGGCATACAATCTTTTATTCAGAAATAAAAAAGATTTGATGTATCTATCCTTACTAATCTCATGTGCTTTACTTAATCTGAGGCTGTTGACTTAAACCAATAACCTTACTTTACTTAACAACTTTTAAGTTTGGTTTGGTTACCTGGACTCATATCACCTTCAAAGAGGGATGTTAGAATAAATAAGCAACTGAGAGCAAGTCAAGACAAAGCACAGTGGTCTCTGATTCTCCTTAGTGTAGGAGCAGTGGTTTTGCTCCCCCCAGGAAAGCACTACATAGTAATTATTGCCCATTATAATGAAGCCCCCCACCCAACCAAACCCTTCTTACCCCCCACCCCAGTTCAAGACAGTTCATAGTCAGTGAACTCTATCAGTAAGGGAAATAACATATTTCATTGATTTCAGCAACATCACAAGTTGACAGTAGATAACCACAACTTCATTGGAGACACATGTATCTTGGTAAATTCACTTTGTACCCTAGAGTTGCTGGATAAAGGAATGTTTACTTCTTTTTATTGCCTCTGGACAAACCAGTCTAGAAAAGTTTTCAGTATATCATTGTAGTCTCAACTTCTATAAGTGGAATGTTCCTTAATAACTCAATTTCTTGTTAATAATTGTTGGAAATTGAAATTAAGCTCATTGCTATTACTGAAATCCCAAATTGGCAAAGACCAATATATAGGGTATTTAATACTATAGTCAATTTCTGAAATTTATGTGTTTTGAGTAGTGCCTTCTGGTTGCCAGTATTGACTCTGCTAGTTTATATGTTTCCCTTTCTTGATAGAAAATCTTGTTACAATTCCTTTTTAAATTTTGTTATAACTAATGAAAATAAAAAAATAGATTTATATTTGCATACTTTATATGCAGTATTTATTTAGGTTCAAGGAAACCAGGTAGCTCCAATTTATGTAGATGAAATATTAATTCATCTGTATTTCTTTTATATCCTTAATTAAAAAACATAAGATTACTTATTAATTCTGTGAGTATATTTTAACATTTTCCAGTGTAGGTTTGATAGGCATATTTGAGAACATATAGGTAACATGAGTTTCATAGTCCATGATAGGGAAAAAGCTTAAAGGTCCATAGAAAGCACAAAATTATGTTCACACATGTATGTATTTCCACATGTAGAAAGCACAAGAGTATCAGTATTCTCATTATCCCACAAGTGCCAGTTATAAAACCCACCAGGTGTTTTGTCTCGGGAGTTGTTAGGATGAGGTTCACAGTATTGAAAGCGCAAGACAATGAGGTATCTAAGTTATGGGTCCTAAATGGTGAGTGATTCAATGTAATCTGAGTAAGTTTGTTCTACTTTGGTGTAGGGAGAGAATGCACATGTCAAGAATGCAGTTTTATTTGGTGTTTACTAGCGCAAAGGAGGTCTGTGAGCTCTGTCCTTCAGTCTGGAACTAAGGAAACAAGGACAGACTTGGAAGGTTTAGTGAATGAACAGTTGGACAAACATAAGCTGTAGAGCCATTGGAGTACTTGGTTTTTTATCTTAAATCTTAGGAAATTTTACCTTCCAACAAAAGTACCTGAAAATATGGAAGCATTTCACATTTAACAGGGCAAATAATACTTGACTTTCATCTTTGTGCAGTTTTGTATGTGAGATGAGGTTATCTTTACTTTTTTGTATGCCTGACTGCACTTCATTTTAATAGAGCAGAATTTGATCCAAGCGTTCTGAGCATCAAACTAATTCTAAGACAGATCTGCCAAATGAACAGCTTTGTTTTTGTAATACTTGTGAAGAGTCTAAACGATTCTTTTCCCTGTCCTGTTACCTGCTTCAAGACTAGATGAGATGAAATCTGTGAATGTGCAAAAGTAGAAAATAATGTATTTGGCATTGCCCTTGTCTTACCCCCTCACTTTCTTCACTTGAATAGACCTTGTTTGTCAAGAATGAATAAATATATTTTTGTCTTGGATTTTGCCTACATGTCAAAGGTTATTAATGCAGAGTGGGAGAGAAGTACTACCTTTATTCCCATCTCCTCATTTTTTAATTTATCTTAGGGAAAGACTTTGTCAACTCTTGAGTGAAGAATAAAGGCTGGTGTTCAAGAAAAGTTAACCTGAACACTTGGAGGGAGAGATTGCCTCCTCCAGCAAAAAGTAGCCAGGTGTGTACCTACAGCATTATTTAGATATAAAACTTCAGGCTTGGGAGTAATAAGCAGATGGGGTACCA